CATGTTGGTCAAGCTGGTCTTGAACTCCTGACCTCAGGTGATCCGCCCGCCTTGGCCTCCAAAGTGTTTGGATTACAGGCATGAGCCACCACACCTGGCCTAATTTTTGTATTTTTATGGAGACAGGGTTTCTACTAAATCCTATATTTTCAGTAGAGACATCATGTTGGCCAGGATGCTCTCGATCTCCTGACCTCATGATCTGCTCACCTTGGCCTCCCAAAGTGCCGGGGTTACAAGAGTGAGCCACTGTGCCTGGCTTTTTTTTTTTTTTTTTTTTTGAGATGGAATCTCCCTCTGTCTCCTAGGCTGGAGTGTAGTGATGTAATCTCGGCTCACTACAACCTCCACCTCCCAGGTTCAAACAATTCTTCTGCCTCAGCCTCCAGTGTAGCTGGGATTACAGGCACCTGCCACCACCCCTGGCTAAGTTTGTATTTTTAGTAGGGATGGAGTTTCACCATGTTGGCGGTCTTGAACTCCTGACCTCATGATCCACCCACCTTGGCCTCCCAAAGTGCTGGATTTACAGAAGTGAGCCACCACGCCTGACCTAATTCTTATTTTAAATGGATTAAAACTTGTTTTTATGCTAGTATAGTGTCCAGGTAAAGAATATGGTCTCAAAAAAAAAAAAAAGAATATGGTCTCTAGAGTCAGACTGCCTGAGTTTGGATCTTGGCTCTCCCTCTAAACCATTGTGTGATTTGGCTGAAAGTTACTTACCTCTATTCTCTAGTTTCCCCATCTATAAAATGGGAATAAGAGTACCCAGCTCTCAGATAATTGTGAGAATTATAAAATAATACCTTCGACATGCTCAGGGCACTGCCAAGAATATAGTTAAAGTACTCAACATATTAACTGTTTTAAGAACTTTTCCTTGCTTTTTCAACAATTTCACTCTCTTCTAAATTCAGCTTCTGTTGGTATTCTACCCATGGTACCTGTCTTATACTGCACTGAAAAGCATTTCTCTTCTAACTGCAATATTTTAATGCCTACAGAGTCCTTTCAGTCATTGAACACACGTGATAGAGCACCTATTAGGTTATCAGGCACTCATCCATGTGGTTGGGATATAGCAGTGAATTAGACAAAGTCATTGCCCTCATTGAGGGTACATTCATCTTTCCCTATCCTACTTCTTTGTATATTATCAGTCCAATGCATTGTTTGCTGTCTGAAATGCCATCCTTCAAGGGCTTTGAGGAGATATGAAAAACATGGTGGTGGAATATACCAGACCCAGGACGATAATAATAAGGCCCAAGAAAATACTTTTCGACAAGACCAAAATTAGGCCATGGAGGGGGACTTTCAGTCTGGAGTGATCGAGCTCTAAGGAAGGTGAGTACATGAGGTCAGTACTGTAGTGGACATAACCTGTGCCCTATGCAGGCTCTACCTATTTGTTCCCTTTTTGAAGCTGTGGATTATATAGTTAATCTTTCAATGACTTGCAGATGAGGAAAAACTGAGGCACATCAATAAAATAAATTGTAGGACATCATAAAATTATTAAATGGCAGACACAAGATTTTCCTCAATTTTTATAAAACTTTATAGAGACAGATGAAGTTTTATCATGTAGCCCAGAGTAGTCTTGAATTCCTGAAGTCAAGCGATCTACCTGTTTCAGCCTCCCCAAGTGCTGGGATTACAGGCATGAGCCTCCACACTCAGCCAATTTTTTTTTTTTTTTTTTTGAGATGGAGTTTCCTTCTGTTGCCCCAGCTACAGTGTAGTGGTGTGTCCTCAGCTCACTGCAGCCTCCACCAACCAGGTTCAATTATATCTCATGCTTCAGCCTGCTGAGTAGCTGTTATTATAGGTGCTACCCCCAGAACCCACAACGCCCAGCGAATTTTTCGTGTTTATAGTAAAGATGGGGTTTCATCATATTGGCCAGGCTGGTCTTGAACTCCTGGCCTCAAGTAATCCACCCGTCTTGGCCTCCCAAAGTCCTGAAATTACAGGCATGAGCCACCACGCCCAGCCCCAGCCAATTTTTTTTTTTTTTTTTGAGACAGAGTCTTGCTCTGGTTGCCCAGGATGAAGGGCAATGGTACAATCTCCACTCACTGCTACCTCTGCCTCCCAGGTTCAAATTATTCTCCTGCCTCAGCCTCCCAAGTAGCTGGGATTACAGGCATACGCCACCATGCCCGGCTAATTTTGTATTTTTAATAGAGACGGCATTTATCCATGTTTCTCCATGTTAGTCAGGCTGGTCTCCAACTCCTGACCTCAGGTGATCTGCCCCCCTCAGCCTCCCAAAGTGCTGGGATTACAGTAGTGAGCCACCACACTGGGCCACCCCAGCCGAATTTTTTTATATTTAAGCCTATACACTCTAAAGCCTGGGAGGAGAAATTGAGCCAGGTAACTTGGGCATCTCCTTCCACTCATACAGTTCCCTAGACCACAGAACAGACAGATGTGTCAGATTCATGTTGAGTACTTTGCTATTAAAATTCCCAGTTTTTTTTTTGTTTTTTTTTTTTTTTTTGGACAATGTCTCACTCTGTCAGCCAGGCTAGAGTGCAGTGGCATGATCTCGGCTCACTGCAACCTCCATCTCCTGGGTTCAAGCAAACCTCAGCCTCCCAAGTAGCTAGGATTACAGGCATGAACCACCGTGCCCAGCTAATATTTGTATTTTTAGGAGAGATGGGGGTTTTGCCATGCTGGCCAGGCTGGTTTCAAACTCCTGGGCTGAAATGATCCACCTGTCTTGGCCTCCCAAAGTGTTGGGACTATAGGGGTAAACCACTGTGCCCAGCCTAGATATTCTTGTGATTAAAGAATTCTGTAGTTCTCCCATCTGAATGCAAGTCTCTAGAAAGAGGCCCAGAAGTAAGACGCCTAAGCTGGGAGTTAAAGTTGATTATTGTTACTGTTTGTGAACAAAACAGTCCTCTAGACCAGTAAGACTGTATGCTCCATTACAGTAGGGACCGAGCCCTGAAATTGTCTCTGTAGTTCAGTGCAGTGCTGAGCACACTACACTCAACAGAAACTTGATTTTAAAATGATTTTTTTTTTTGAGACAGAGTTTCACTCTTTTTGCCCAGGCTGGAGTGCAATGGCACGATCTTGGCTCACCGCAACCTCCAGTTCAAGCAATTCTCCTGCCTCAGCTTCCAGAGTAGCGGGGATTACAGGTGTGTGCTACCATGCTCGACTAATTTTGTATTTTCTGTAGAGATGGGGTTTCTCCATGTTGGTCAGGCTGGTCTCGAACTCCCTACCTCAAATGATCTGCTTGCCTAGGCCTCCTAAAATGGTGGGATACAGGTGTGAGCCACCATGCCCAGCCTTAAAGTGATTTTAAAAGGGAGGTCCTCCCTTGGAAAGGTCGTTGGGGGATGAAGCAGGGAGAGGTTTATCCTGGGGACTGGGGTCTGATGAGAAACTGGGGTGGCATGAGAGTTTCCCTCTGAAGAAAGTATCTCCTGGTAGGCAAATGGCATTTCCTAACCCCCTTGGTTCCCTTCTGTGCAGCTCCTCAAAGACACTGGAGAAGCATCCTAACATGCTCTAGACGGAACAGGAAAGGGTCCTTTGGCTTGAAAGAATCAGCATCCAGAAGCAGTACCTCCCTCTTCATCCAGTGATCTCCATCCCCGAGAAATGTGCTCTTCTAAATTATTTCCTCCATTGATACGCCTGCTGTCCTTCCCCAAGGCATTTGTTTTGTTGGCTAATTCCCTTTGGTAATTGGTTTGTCACTCTATTAGGAGTTGTTTCCTGTGTTTATTTCATTATACAGTACAAAAAGAGAGAGAGCTCTTGAGTGGACCAAAGGGATAAGGAAGATGGTGCATGTTTTCCTGATGTCTACATGCAGCAAGTGCCTTAATCTTTGCCCCTATCTTCCTGGTGCTGTTGCCAGGCTGAGACCCTGGTTGGAGGAATAAAGCCTGCAGCTAGAGCAACTAAGGCAGCCTAGGATGACTGCCAGGGCCCCCAGGATGCATGAGGGCTGCCAACACCAACTACTGGGGAGAGGATTGTTGTTCCTGTGGAGGTGCTGGAGGTTGGTGGGGGGAAGGTGGAAGAGAGGAAATAAGGCAAAGATGAGCTCAGGGCCCCCAGAGAATGGAGCCTTTGTGTGGGGTACAGATGAGGGACAAGGGGGTGATTGTATGGGAGGGCCGGAAGTGCCACACAGACTGGCACCACCATAGTCAGCACCAGATTCACCCTTCTGCTCTGAGAACTCCCTGTGCCCCAAGGGGCCAGTCCCAGACATGGTCAGGGGAAGCAGGGTATGCCTGAAGACTATAAAGGATGGGAAGCTGGAAAGGCAGATATATAGCCAAGGGAAAATGAGAGGTATCCCCCATTACCCACACCCAGGGAACAGGAGGCCGAAGGGAAAAGACAGAAGCAGCTTTTACTATATTTACATCCAACAAAACTTCGCAGGGAACAATCCTTATTGCACAGGTCAGGGCCTGGGTGGGTGAGGCATTCCCCAAGGTGGGGCGAGCAAGAAAAATTTGGACTGGAGGGGACACCAGTTCTTCCTAAGGAGAGCTTGAGACTCCTCTAGCTCCCAATACCTGACTTTGGAACTACAAACCACCAGACCATGGTGCCCTATTTCCCTTCTCTTTCTCACTCTCCATAAGAACCTCATAAGCAAGGGGGCTGTGGCTCCAAAATAAATAACTTAAAATAAAATACAAACACTCAGGTAGAAAAGCATGGAGAGCCTTGGGCTCCTTCAGCAATGCCAGGGAAGAGGGACCATTATTGGTGGAGAATGAGCTCCCTACCTCCCATTCAGGGCAAAGGCTCAGTAGCTCTGCATCTTTCCAGTTGTTTTTTAAAACAAAAACTTTTAAAATGACCAGGGCAATGCAGATCTGTGGGTACCCTGGAGGGGAGTTCCTGGTATAGGACAAGGGAAGAACAGAGCTGTACCAACACCCCTAGATCTCCCCCAACATCAGCATGAACAAACTGGGTAGGTTGGAGACGGGGGAATCAGGACTTTTGGTAACAGTGGGTCCCTCTTCCTGCTGTCCTCGATTGGAGCCTTTGACTGGGCATGCTTCCCAGCCTATTCCCAACTCCATGAAGGGAACAGGGACACAGGTTAACTCTAGAATCCCTTCTCCCTCATTTCCCCACCCCAGGCTGGAGAGGGAGGATTAAGGGTCTCTAGCATTCTGGAGGTGCTCCAAAACATTTTCGGCAGTCAATGGCCTTGGGAGTGGGCATCTGTGCCCGCCGCTGCCTCAGTTCCTCCTTGCCCATGCTGCTGGCCAGCTTGTTAAAGGCGGACTTGTACTTCTTATCGAAGGCCACTAGGGAAGAAGGTGGAAGTCAATACATTAGGACCCCGGCCTCCCACACCTGGCCCCAGATCCCTAAATTCCTCAGCACCTTGCCTGCTCCCTCACCTATGTCCACATGGTCCTTGCCCAGAGCAGCCATTGTCAGGAATAAGATCTCACGGTAGATTCCCCTATGGTGGAGGCAGAAGTATATGAGCAAGGTAAAAGGGGTGCAGAGCCCGGGACAGGCCAGGGACCACCCAGATGGCAGCATCATACCTCTGCAGGTGCAGGCCAGTGGGTGGGGGCCCTAGAGTTTCCAGCAGGAGCCCCACAGCCTTGTGCACTTCATTGAGTCCAACATGGCGCAGCACCGACTCCAACAATGCCAAACTAAGGGATGCGGGTACTGGGCCTGGCCATACCACCCGCTGGGGGATCTGGCCTGGATGAAAGGAAAGAAAGCCACCAGGATCACTGAGCCCTCTGGGTATAGGACCCACCCTCCCAGCCCAGGCCAAATACCAGACTCACTGTGGACCCTCCAGAGCACATAGAGAGGTGGGCAGCTATTGGGGTCAGGGGTCAGTACATCCCACAGCAGCCGTACCTGAACAGAGGCTGGATCAGGGGTTAGCCAAGGAGATGGGGCCTGAGGGAGCCAAGATAGGGGAGACAGTTAGGCTCAAGGAATGGGAGGCAGAGGATAAGAAATGGACAGGTGGTGCCAAAGAGACAGTGGGACACTACAGGACACAGCCAAAAAAAAGAGGGAAAGGAATTCTCATTCCCTCAAGAATGTAAGCTCTTGAGAGCAAGGACTGTTCTGTAATCTGCTGCATAACTAGTACTTAAAACTGCCTGGAACATAAAAAGAACTCAATACTGGTGGAACGAACAGACAATATGAATGAATCATTTTTTAGGTACCAGGCTCTGCACAAGGTTGTCTATACACCCGCCCAGTGAGGTAGGTGCTTATGCCATTTTACAGATGACAAAATTGAGGCTCAGAGTGGTAAAGTGAAAGGGCCAAGATTCAAACCAGGTGGAACAGACTCCACAGCCCATGTTCTTTCTACAATGCCAAGGACACAGCGGATAAACAGCTGAGAGATAAGGAGGGAGGCACTTAGGAAACAGGGGCCACATGGGGGCACCGACCTGGGGGTGTGAAGGCCCATCACAGGAGGCCAGCACCAGGCCTGGTAGAATACTGGGCAGGCGTAACCGTTGGAAATACCACAGAAGGTTCCAGAAGATGATAGGGTGGGCAGAGGGCAGCTCAGGCAATGCCAGCACCTCACTGCCCTCATTCTCTACCAGTGACTCCAGCTCCTTACGCAGCACCAGGGGGCTCAGGTATGCCCATGCCGCACTCTCAACCCGCCGGGAGGCTCCCTATCAGGCACAAAGGGGGAGGGCAGTAGAGGGAATGTACATCCCCAGAGCCTTGCCTCTCACTGAGCCACCACATCCAATAGCTTCTGGGATGCCCCTTGCCCTTAAGGGAAACAGATGTGCCCATCTCTCCCTGGCACCCCACAGGCCCCACACAGGGCAACAATCCCATTCCTCATGCCCGTTGGCCCAGCCCTTACCCCCATGTGCCCATTGCAGAGCTGGGGCTCATCCAGAGCAAGGCAGAGCCTGCGGTCACTGAGCACAGGACCAGGACCCCCAGGGACAGGAGCATCTCTGCTGCCACTGGCACCAGCAGGCTTGGGGCTGGGAACCCTGCAGGGGGACAGCAGCAGGGGTCAGCTCTTGGACCTTCACCTCCCTACCCCACCCACAGCACTTGCCCTGCCTTGGGCACCTGGGGCGGGAATCAAGGGTCTGGACACTGAGCAGGGGCACAAAGGGGCAGGCGCAGAAGGGGCAGGTTGTGTTGAGGTTAGAGTCATCAGGTGCCCAGCCAGCCATGATTTCCTCATCGTACACCAGCGAATCACAGGCGCGGCACAGGGAGCAGCTGGACAGCAGAATCTGTGGGCAAGGAGAGCCGGGAAGTAGGCCCTGTCTGGCTGCCAGCGCTCTGGAGCCCATGCCCCTGCCCCAGGCCTTCCCACCTCCTTCCCATCTCCTGCCTTTGACAGGGTGACTGTGTGCTATGTGTGTTCAAGCACATCTGTGTGGGAGGGGTTATCCTTACTTCCAGGGAAGGTGACTGGCAGGATCCAGGGGTATCACTGAGGCGCTCTGAGGAACGGCGAAGACTCAGGTTGCTGAGAGAAGATTCTGAGAGGTCCCACTCACTGCCCAGAGAGGCCGAGCTCTGCCATGACATGAGAAACCATGGTCAGCCAACCCCATGCTCTTCTACCCAAGAGCCCCCTTTTTGGACATTCTTCCAGTTGTAGCCCTCCCCAAGCCCGCTAATGCTAAGGTGTCTGGACCCTCCTTCGCTGGCTACCTCAGAGGCAGTGGATCCAGGACGCTCCCGGGGGTGCAGAAGGCTGTCCATGGGACTGCGGCGGGCTGGGGGTGGCAGGTCAGGAGGCAGCTCAGGTGGGGGAATGCGGGAAGTGGGGGAGTGGCGGGAAGGAGTAAGCAGCTGTTGGAGGCGGGCACCCAGCCCTCGCCGGGGGGTGCCTGCCTCATCCTGTCGCCCGCCAGCCTTGGGTCCCCGCCCACTCAGCCCTTCCAGGGCCTCAGTGGACTGGGCACTCAGGGCTGAGCCGGAGCCACCTGGGCTGCCTCCAGGGACTGGCTCTTCCCCTGTCAGGCTCAGGTCTGAGAGACTTCCATCATGCCAGGGCACAGGTGATCTCCGGGGTTCCAGGACCCCCAAGGCCTCTATCACTGCAGCACAGAAAAGAATGAGGGAAGATAGAGCCCAGCCTCTCCACCAGCTTCCCCTTTCCTGAGTAAACACAATTCCTGGCTGCACAAACTCTGGTGCCACAACCCCCACCATGATGACATTCTGGGCAGGATTCCCTCAGAGTCTACAGCGCCCACCACAGAGGGCTGTCCTCCACTCTGTCTCTGGTCTTCCCTGCCTCACTAGCAGGTGGTTAGAAAAATTGATTGGGGGAGTAGGGGAGCCAGACAAGGGCACTCACTGTGGGCCACACCAGCCTCTACAGTGGGCTGTGCCCCTCGGGCACTGCCCAGGCTACCACTCTTCACCAGGCGCCCAGGGGGTGAGGCCGGGTCTCTCAGACTTCGCCCAGCCCAAGTAGTCTGGCGCTGAAGGGTGCGAGTAGGGGAAGGGCGCTCCAGATAGGGCTCTGTAAAAGATGAGAAGGGGTTTAGAGGCGGCCGACTAGGATCCGAGTCCCCTGTTCCAAAATAGAGCTCCTTAGATGGACCTGGGTTTGCAGGGTTCCTCCCAGGCAAAACTTTATCCATTTTGTTGCCAGCCACATGTAATTTATCAATCCCCGGAAACCAAATGCCAACCATTAGACCAGCCCCAGCTCTCCATGCCTTTCCCTGCCTGAGCCCAGCTACTCCATCCCCAAGCCTGTCTCACCAGGCCCTACCCACCGGCCTGGGAGCTGCCTGCGTCTTGCTGAGCTGACACCTGCTGCTGCTGCTGCTCCTGCTGCTGCTGCTCCTGCTGCTGCTGCTGTCGCCGTTCTCTCAAGGGCTGGCGGAACTGAGCAGCCCCCAGGACAACATTCCGGAGCTTGGCCCAGCGCAGGCGCCCACCTGGTGTGCCAGACGGCCACTTGCTTTCCAGCACAGCCTACCAAGCACAGTGCCCATCAGGATGGCCCACTCCCGCATCCTGACCCTGCCTCATACCCACTCCCTGTCCTGGAGCCCCAGGGACCACCTTCCCTTGCAGACATCCTGCCTAGGACTGTCCTGCCAATGGCTCAGCCAGGAACAAGAACCCAGAAGAGAGAGTAGGCAGCAGCTGCCTCCCAAGGAGCCTAGAAGAAGCCTGTGGCAATGGAGAAAATGTGTAGCCAGACTCTGCTGCTTACAAATATAAACTATATGGCTCTGAAGAAATCATTTATTTGGTTATTAGTTTCCTCATCTAAAAACAGGAGGCAGTTTATTACCATGGCTAAAGGCCTGAATTCAGGAGATATGGATATGCCTCTGCCCATATTCTTTTTTTTTTTTTTTTCCTGAGAATGGAATTTCACTCTTGTCATCCAGGCCAGAGCGCAGTACAGTGGTGCAATCTCAGCTCACTGCAACCTCTGCCTCCCAGGTTCAAGTAATTCTCCTGCCTCAGTTCCTGTGTAGCTGGGATTACAGGTGCCCACCACCATGCCCAGCTAATTTTTGTATTTTTAGCAGAGACAGGGTTTCACCATTTTGGCCAGGCTGGTCTCGAACTCCTGACCTCAGGTGATCTGCCTGCCTTGGCCTCCCGAAGTGTTGGGATTACAGATGTGAGCCACCTCGCCCAGCCCTGTGCCCATATTCTAAGTCCTTAACTTCTTTGCTGCGGGACCTGGGACAAGTTGCTAACTCTCTGCAGCCTCATCTCCTCATTTGTAAGATGGGGATAACAATCATCCCACCTCATAGGGCCATTGTGAAGATAAGATGATGTAAAATGTGTGATGCCTATAGACCAGTGCCTGGCTTAGCGGCTAACACTATTAGTTGCAGACAGGGCTGTCATTAGTGGGAATCAAAGTAGCCTCCTCTGAGAAACTGTAGGTGCTAAGGCACCACAGGAACGCACTGTGGATGACAGTGGTTCCAGGACCTAGGCAAACGGTACCAACCCAATCTCCAAGAAGCGAGGGAAGCAGCAGCATCCTCCCCTCACACACCCTGGCACAGCTGCCATCCCACCCTCACCCCAAAGTAGGTACCTTATTGTAGTATCCATAGGTGATGGTGTTGGGCACAATGCCTGCTTGCCGCATCTCCAGCATGACCCGCACAGACAGCACAGGCTGCCCGTAGTGTGAGCAGAGCTGCATCAGCACCCGGTAACACACCTGGGTCAGGAGAGGGACAGGACAACAGGAGACTCACTCCCAACCAAAACCAAAGTCTCAGCAAGCACCCTCTTCCATCCTCCCCAATTCTCACACACATCACTGGCCCCTGGCAGGTCCTGGGGCTGCCTCAGAGCCACCCACCCTTTCTGCTGACCCTGCCACTCTACAGTCTCCACTGCTATACCCTGAACATGCTTATTCACTCGACGAATGTTTACAGATAACCTGCCCAGCTATGGGGCTCTACAACTTCTTTCCTTAGTTTCCAACAAGTTTCCCTCTCACAGCCCCCTCCAGCTGCACGTGGCTCACTGGGCCTGGGTGTGGGCATGGCCACACAGATTGCCTACCTCGTCAGGGAGCACCACCTTGCCGCTCTCCATCTGGCGCAGCACATGGTAGGCTGTGTGCAGGGCCTGTACCCGGGAGGGCGCCGACCGCACATAGGCGGGCAGACAGAGGAACCACAGCCCATAGCAGTGCCCCAGCAGGCACCGGGCCCATAGCTCAGGCACAGCTGCTGACTTCTGTGCCATCCGCTGTGCAACCTTCATCTCCTAGGTAGGACAGGGGACACATCAGGGTGAGTACAATGCCAGGTTATTTTTATTATTTATTTATTTATTTATTTATTTATTTTTGAGACGGAGTTTCACTCGTGTTACCCAGGCTGGAGTGCAATGGCGCGATCTCGGCTCACCGCAACCTCCGCCTCCTGGGTTCAGGCAATTCTCCTGCCTCAGCCTCCTGAGTAGCTGGGATTACAGGCACGCACC